ATGTCCAGGTGAACTAGAAGCCCATGGAAGAAAGATGAACATGATGAGACTCAAACCAAGCAGTAGCAAGTTTAGACTTGTGCTTAGGATCATTGTCCTGAGCAAAATGAGCATACTTCTTAGTGATTCTGAGTTTCTTCAAGGTAGAGAGAAGTGAACTCTGCAGGATTTGTGTGTACATCTCTGCATCCATCTTACCCTCAATCCTATGAAGAGTCCCAACACCTTTGGAAGTGACACACCCCCAAACCATAATACTTCCACCTCCATGCTTCACCATCTTCTGCACATAAACATCATCAAACTCCTGCCCAGACCTCCTGTAACACCACTGACAACCATCAGAGCCAAAAAGATTGAATTTGGACTCATCAGAGAAAATGACAGAATGCCAGTCTAGAGCAGTCCAATCTCCAAACGTGTGAGCCCATTCTTTTCTAGCCTGCCTCAATTTGATGCTGAGAAAGGGCTTACAGCAACAAACATAGGCCTTAAGACCATGTTTATAAAGGTGACAATGCATAGTACTCTTGCTGACATGAGGGAAGTGGTTTTGTTTGAGATTGGTAGCATTATGAGCTGAACCAGATGCAAGCATTCTAGCAGTAGAACAACGGTCGGGTGACGAAAGCTTGGTGGGACGACCTGGCTTGGGCATAACAAAGTACAGATCACCAGTAAGGAGGAGCTTGCAGTGCAATTGGGAGACGGTAGAACGAGAAAGGCCAAGCCTTTTGGCACACTCAGAGTGAGACATGCCAGCATGCTTGTAGTCCAATAGATGCACTTTACGAGTGGGTGTAGTGTAGTGCATAGAGTAGAATAGAGGTAATACTAAAGCCCAGGGTGCAAAAGGAGGCACAGGTGTCGAAATAATGAGCACTGGGGCAGCCTTTTTAAAGTGTATGTGCTGCACACATATGTAATGCAACAGCATGTTTTTTTTAGATCCGTCCGTCTTGTATAATTACTGCACATTTTGCAGTCTTTTTTACATACATATATTTGCAGTATATCACACTTAATTTACATGTAATTTATATGGGCATAAGTGTTGTGTGGAATGACGTGTAGAGGCAAAATGAAAAACACGTGGTGTGTTGCAATACTTTTGACGCGCACTGTAGCTCAGGAGGGCCTATAGTACGAGCAGTCCGAGAGTCCGAACCTTTCCCCAATCCCAACAGATTAAGGACGTCAAATGTGCTGTAGTGTGGTTGTGCAGAATTTGTATGTTCTTTCGGGATGACGTAGAGATAAAACTTCTAGCCTGAAAGGGCTTGCATGTGATAATGATCTATTGCGACTTTGCGTAATGAACGGGAGTATCGTGATCATATGCCCCTATGTGCTGTTCCGCAATGAGGATAAGGAGATCGAGAAATTGGACTCCCCATCTAGACTTTCAGGACCGAGCGGGTAAATAGGCGAACTCCACAGTGCACACATCCAACAAGGGCAGAGGACTGGTGAAAAGACTCCGTACGCGTGTGGAAAGCAAGCAAGCAAGCAAAATATGGAGGCGAGAGAGACGATCAGGCATTTAGTCATACTCATAGCATTTCTGTTCTCCATTGCAAGCAGTTTAGCATTTTGGTTGTGGACGTCGAGACGGAAGTAATGTAAGCTCGCGGAAGAGTCCGAAGAGAATGGCAGGACAAGAGCACGGATGCGGAACCGGTGACCTGCATGCCAGCGCGGATCATCGTGCATCACCCCTTTTTCCAATCAATTATAATCCTCGTAGATACCCCAGCGAACAGCCAGCTCCTCTGTTCACTTTATTCTTAGCCTTCCCGTCCATCCCACAGCAGTGCACACGGTTATACATATCCGAACCCCAGAGATTTTGCCATTGCTATCAATATCAATATCAACGATATTTGACGCTCGGCACGAACAATACGATATACGATACGATACGGACGGAGAACTATCATAGTAAGTTATGAAGCTCGTTTATTTCTCTCATTTCCTGTGCTGCGATCAATAGCCAGCATAGCAAGGAGACAGACGTATTGATAATTGGATCAGATCGGAGGCTGACAAGTCTCTGTGGCCCTGTAAATTGCTTATTACATTCCTGACTCGGCCAACAAGCGGCGGCTGTTTCATCTCACTTCGGGCATTTTTTTTTCATTTGACGTTGCTGGCTAGTTGCGGACCTGTGCGTGGAACGCCGAGAGGAGTTGAAACGTGTTACGTGCGCTCCCCAACAGTCCGTTTCTCCTGTGGCTATTTATTCGTTTATATAGGGAGAGCTGATCTATGTGCTTCCTCGTTTCTTCTTAGCTTCGCTGTACTAGTTACTTCGACCTATAGGCCAGGCCTACTACTACTACTTAAGAGCTCTCCTCTTGCTCTCGTCTGCCGAGTAGCTCCTATCCGTTCTTCTACCTCGTGCCCTCGTGCCCGTCCCTGTCCTCTCGCTCTCTCTATTCCTTCGTCCATCTTCATCCATCTTCGCATCGTCGATACCAGATGGCCATGCGCCCCTTCAACGTCTACGTCCACCCGGACTTCTCCTACCAACCATACGAAGCATACCACGGCTCAAACCACAAACCTTCACGACGAATTGCACTCGCGCTGGTGTTGATTAGTGCCGGCGCTGCGATTGCTGTGCATCGGTATAATCCGGATTTGGATTTGTTAAGACCGATTTTGGGGATGGTGGGATTGGAGGGTGTCGTGCCGTTGTAGAGTTTGCGAGCGTGTTTGGTGGAGGAAAGTGTTGGATGTGGATGTGGGCTTTGGTGAGTCAGCTGTGCGTTTGGTGTGGTGACAATCCCCGCTGACATCGCACATCACAGATCAGACTCGGACTCGGACTCGGACTCGGACTCGGACTCGGACTCGGACTCGGTCCCGGACTTCATAATTGTCTGGTGATAGACAATGACGTTAAATACATACATACCGCGAGCAAGCATGACGAATTACTGAGACGCGTCGGACACGGACTCGGACATTCTTATCAAGCTAGACCCATCAATCCACCACCACCATCGATAGCACAGCGCCACCGGCATGTAACACCTCATTCATACGTTAACCTCATTCGTATATGCGGATGCGCTTGCGTTGCATTGCATACGTGTTTCGTCCGTCCTTCCGGAGCTTGTAGTAGTCATTTGTTCCGTGTCGTGTGAACATCCGACGTCCACGCAAACCAGCCAGCCACGCCAGCGCGCTTTCTCGACACTCTACATCTGTTGGTCGTCAATCCCCGTTGTACGCTTTACTATCATATCATATCTATTTCTCCCTGTATCACCTCCCCAATGTGCTGTTCGCCCCCATCTTATGTCTATTTTCTGTTTTTCCCAGTATATTTGACTATTGTTCTATTTTAGCAGTCCATTCGAGGCTTTATTTATCAAGTTCCGTTCTCTCCATTCCATTCCATTCCAATCTTTTCAATTCGTTTTTTTCCCTTGGTTTTTATCCTCTTTTGGTGTTCATCATTACTCGTTTGGTCCACATATGAGATTCGACCACACCTCAATTCGGGTCTGTGCTCTCGTTTCCTTGCTTTGATTCCATCCGGTCCCATCATTGCCTCTACATCATAGCATCAATGCACTGCACTACTCAGTAACAAACGTTCATTCCCTTTCCTTTTCCTCTTTTTACTTTACCCTCTTTACATATCTATACATCACATAGCATTAGCAATTACCTGCATGTATGCATGTACAAAGGAACGAATGAATAAATCGAGCTGTACATATGTATTATCATTAGAACCAATTACACCCCCTCATTGTTGATTTATATACTGATATTTGACATTTTGTTAGATTGCATATGTTGATTTGGATCAACTAATCCAGACCGTTTGTCAGGGATAGTCACATGCATAATATTAGCAACACTGGACTAGAAGGCAAGGTGCTTGCTGGAGTGGAACAATACATTTAACACAAGGGAAAACATGTTTCCAACCATGTGGAATTTCTTCAAGTAGCATGTGATTTCATAACACCTAAGGTCTTTGTTTTCTTTCTATCTTGGCATTCATTACTCTACTAGTCTAAAGAATTTGTCAGTACAATAACATAGTAATACTGAATTCTATTAGTTTATTATTGTTATTAGTTTAATCTGTGTCAGATTAGGTCACTAGGAAGCAGATTAGGAGTTATTTGTAGGCTATAACTAAGCAACTAACTGTATTTCTCCTAGTCTTTTCATTTAATTTACAATTTCATTTATGTATAGAAGCTTGAAAGCTGCTATTAGCTATACAAAGTGTAAAAACCAAGCAATGCGTTGACACAAATCATATACCTGATGTATATTGAATGCTTCTGTTCTGTGAAGTCGAGAACCTTGCCTGCCAATAAATTATGTAATACTAAAATCGGAGCAGTGGGTTGACCGAAATCAAGTGCTTCTCTGTTCTAATCTTGTTTTTACGCGCTCTCTACTGCAACTCTATTACCTCGGCCTTGTACATCTCTCTTTCCCGATGGATAAATTTCTCTCAAGCAGACGGGTGTTTGGCCGTCCTATCTATCTCCTCGTATACAAGTCCTTCCTCGGGCAGTCGGCCTCACAAATGCAACGAGAATAAGCATGTACGCAATGCACATTTAGAATTTCGATGTGCTACATGACAGTTCACCGGTGAATACGGAAAGTAGTCTTCCATGACTGATATAGCTATCCATCATCGCTCTACTATATAAACAGGCCTGCTGCTCGTGTACAGCACGTTCAAACCACGACGACCACTGGATTCGAGTAGTGTTCAACTATGGCTACGCTCAGCCCGATTCCTCTGCCTCCTACAATCCCATTCTTAGGGAATGCAAATCTTATCGACGTCGAGCTACCTGTGCGCTCGTTCTTACTTCTTGCAAAACAATATGGCGAGATCTATCAGCTTACGTTCAGTGGTGGTGTCGTTATCGTGCATATCAACTCTGCTGCTATGGTTCGGCAAGTTAGCGACGATGCGCATTTTAAGAAGTCTGTGAGTCGGGGTTTGAGGGAGGTGAGGAACTTGGCTGGGGATGGGCTGTTTACTGCTGATAGCGATGAACCAAACTGGGGCATTGCGCGTATGTCTACTTTTTTACTTCTTTCCTTCTGTTGCGTTGAGCTGACACGAGGAAAAACAACGATGTCATGCAGATCGGATCCTCATGCCTGCCTTCGGCATAGCAAACGTTCGCAACATGTTCCCCGACATGCAAGACATCTGCTCCCAAATGCTTCTCAAGTGGACCAGGTTCGGCTCGTCACACGTCTTCGACCCATCCGAAGACTATACACGCTTGACGTTCGACACAATCGCACTATGCAGCATGTCTTATCGCTTTAACTCTTTCTATGAGCGTGACATGCCGCAATTCACACAAGAGATGGTAGAGTTTTTGAGTGTCTCGAATCGACGGGCGTTTAGACCTGCGTTTATGAAGTTGGTGCCGCTTGTGTATAAGAATGAGGATGATAAGTATTTTGAGGATGCGAAGCATATGACTGACCTTGCGAGGGAGATTATTAGGAAGAGGAAGGAGGAGTCGCCTGTTGAGCAGCATGGTGATTTGTTGGAGCTTATGTTGGAAGGAAGGGACCCGAAGACTGGCGAGAAGCTTTCGGAGGAGAACATCATTTACAATGTGAGTAATTACGTTGCCTGTTTGTGATTATTATCTTACTGCGTTTGATCAGCTCCTTACGTTCCTTATTGCGGGACACGAGACAACATCCGGTAAGGTTCTCGACTTGCCAAAGTTACAAGAAACTCATACAGGATCTAGGTCTTTTGACGTTCGCAACATACTACCTCCTCAAGAACCCATCCTGTCTCCAAAAGCTACGCGAAGAACTAGACGAAGTCCTCGGTTCCGAAGATCCCACACTCGAAGATCTGGGGAAGATGCCATACCTCACAGCAGTCATGCGCGAAACGCTTCGTCTCAGTCCAACCGCACCTGCGCGGAGCGTCGCGCCCCTCCAAGACGCAGAGTTAATCGGCGGGGACGGTGACCCAGCTAACCCATCTAACAGACGCTATGCTGTCAAGAAGGATCAGTTAGTAGTCGTTCACGCTATCACCTCCATGCGAGACCCACTCGTCTGGGGAGACGACGCCGAGTCTTTCCGTCCCGAACGCATGTTGGACGGGAAATTTGAAAGTCTACCGGAACAAGCGTGGCAACCCTTCGGGTACGGTATGCGAGCGTGTATTGGGAGAGCGTTCGCATGGCAGGAGGCGATGCTTGTGCTTGCGTGTGTTTTTAGCCAGTTTGATTTGTTTTTTGAGGATTCGGGGTATTCGTTGGAGATTAAGCAGGCGTTGACGATTAAGCCGAAGGATATGTTTGTTAGGGCTGTTCCGAGGAGGAGGAAGGGTGGTTCGGTGAGGGTGCCGAGACCGATTGTTGGGGGTGTGGGTGAAAAAGCGAAGAGTGATGCTGGAGAGACGAGTCAGGTAGCTGAGGGTGGACATCCGTTGACTGTGCTTTATGGAAGTAATACTGGGACGAGTCAGGCATTTGCACAGCGGATCGCGTCTGATGCACATCTTCATGGTGAGCCTTGTTACTTTGCAACACATTCTATGCTTTTAATTCACTCGTGTCGGTGTTTAATAGGCTTCAAGGCACAGATAAACACGCTCGACAGTGCAACAGGTCGCCTTCCCACAAACGGACCAGTCATCATCGTAACAGCGTCATTCGAAGGCGAGCCAGCAGACAACGCAGCTCAGTTCGTTGCTTGGCTTTCCGCTCTCCAACAATCCGAAACATCGAAATCATCATCTCTGAATGACATCGCATACACGGTATTTGGATGCGGGAACCGAGAATGGGTAAGGACGTACCAACGTATCCCGAAGTTGATCGACGAGAAGATGAACGAGGCGGGAGCGGAGCGATTGATGGAGTGTGGGGAAGGGGATGCTGGTTCTCCAGAGTTTTTCCAGAAGTTTGATGAGTATGAGGAGAGGATGTGGGGTGTACTTGAGAAGGTTCGTTTTCTTCTTTCTTTTGTTTGGTTTTTTGTGTTCAGTATTGATAGTACTCATGGCGTCTTTTATCTTACAGAAATATAACGTAACAGGAAAAGCCGGCGGTGCAGACGCAGGACTCGACGTTGAACTTGCTAGTGCAGGTACAGGACGTGCTAAGGTTTTGAGGCAGATGGATGCTGAGATAGGTGAAGTGTTGGAGAATAGGCTGTTGACGAAGCCTGGAGCGCCGGAAAAGAGACATATTGGTGAGTGAATTCCTACTATATATTACCTCAATGCTTAACTATGAGCGTTTAGCTATTTCACTCCCGGAGGGGATGTCGTACAGGGCTGGCGACTATCTTGCTATGTGCGTATGACCTCTCGTTAAACTAGGGTGACGTCTGACTCTGTTGAATTGTAGTCTTCCGTCAAACCCTGAGGAGACTGTTCAGCGGGCTATGAAACGATTCAAGCTGACTAGTGATCAAGAGGTACGACCTATGAGTTCTGATAGTGAGACGCATGCGACTAAGCGGGATGCAGATAACGATCAAAGCTAGTGGACCGACGACGCTTCCCACTAACGCACCAGTCTCTGTCCATTCGCTTCTCAGCGGGTTCGTCGAGCTAAGCCAACCTGCTACTACACGAGAACTTCAAGCAATGAAAGCATCAACGACAAACGAAAGTGTCATTGCGAAGTTGAACAAATTGCTGGAGAACTACTCGGATGAAGTCCTCAAGAAACGTGTCAGCATGCTCGACTTACTGGAACAATACCCAGAAATCAATTTGTCGCTTGCTACTTTCCTCAATCTTATACCGCCGATGCGGATTCGACAGTATTCGATTTCGTCTAGCCCTTTGGTGGATGCAAGGGTTGTTTCGTTGACTGTTAGCGTCATCGACGCACCTGCGATTTCCGGGATGTCGAATATACGATTTAGGGGAGTTGCGTCGTCTTTCCTCGCCAGCCTCAAAAAGGGATCGAAAGTACCCGTCGTAGTCCGTCCATCAGGCGCACAATTCGCACTCCCTTCAGACCCAACAACGCCAATAGTGATGTTCTGCGTCGGCTCTGGATTAGCACCGTTCCGCGGGTTTGTACAAGAACGTGCAGCGCAGAAGCTCGCTGGGAGGGAGGTAGGGAGGATGATGTTGTTTGTTGGGTGTAGACACCCTGAGGAGGATTATTTGTATATGGATGGGGATGGAGAGATGAAAGAGTGGGTTGGGATGGGTGTTATTGATATTCGACCGGCATTTTCGAGGTGCAATGATAAGTCGGAGGGGTGTAAATACGTTCAGCAGTACGTGCATCACTCAGTTCTGTCATTCTCCGCTAATCCTTGGATTGCAGTCGTATGTGGCATGACCGGAAGATAATCACAGAACTGTATGACGAGCATGCAAAGGTAAGCCTCTCAAATTCAAAATGACTATTCAAATTCTTATGCATTTCATTTATTTACTTATAGTTCTACACATGCGGCACACGCCAGGCAGCGAACGGGATCAAGGAAGCCTGTATCAACATTATCAAAGACAACCATCCGGATTGGAATATTGAGCGTTCGACAGCTGCGTTTGAGCATATTCAGAAGGAGAGGTATGCTGCAGATGTTTTCGATTGATGGGTGTAGGTGTGGTTCTCTTGTTTTCTTGGTATCTCGGTTTGGTGTAAAGTGAAGTCGATGGTTCAAATTATAGACAGACAGATACTCGTGTACTTTGTACCTTTACAGCACTGAAGACAGAGTTCAGACTGGTGCTTAGAGGCATTCACATTTTCACACGCTTGATAACTTCGACTTCTGATAATAGTGAATGAGTACACGAGAAGAAATAGTAATACTCCCAGAGTCAATGTGTCAGTACATCATGTGATTCAAGGGACTTATATATTAAGGCAAGAATGCTTCTTTGAATACATGCTACTCCCTCGTACGGACTTCGCTTTGCTTTTTTGTGCGATTTCCAGGAACATGACTATCCCTTTTTATATTTCGTCTTGCTACTTGCACTAAATCTATTGTGGATGCATCCGGGTCATGCATGTTACAAAATACTCGGTTACTTAGTGTCTTTTCTCGTGACGCAGTCTGAAACCACTGAGACATACGAAGATGAAATCATTCAGTGAGTGCAAATTAATACTCCAGAGATTGCTGATAGTACCTGATAGTTCTTCAGAACCATGTCCACACTGGGCCTGTCATCTAATTCCTTCTTCAGAAGGTCACCTAAAAGATCACGGGCTTCAATCACGTTTTGTTTTCAGTACATGTATTATAAATCATTAATTCGCTTATGATATTTGGAGTGAAGAAGAAAAAATGCGCATAATATTTTAGCACGTACCATCAGATGAAATATTCTCATATCTCGTTTGGCTAAAGTCGAAGTCCCTTCGATTAATTTCATCTGCTAATACTTTTTTAGGCTTGGTTTGGAACCATGGCACACATCCACAGAGCATTTCATAAAGTGTTATCCTATCAAAGATAAAATGAAGCAGTTAGGAAGATATAATCAATTGTACTACATGTTTAATATTGAATCTAATCACTGACCCTGTAGCCCATATATCTCCTTTTCTCCCAATTTTATTAGTATTGAATGCTTCTGGAGGGCAATACTTCATTGTACCAGCACCGAGGAATTTAACTGTACCGTCTGACTTGAGGCGAGAAGAGCTATGTATATAATATTCAGCCTGTGTAAGACAGTGGACAATAGTAATTAACTTCTCAAAACTGCTCACAGGCCAAGGTCACCCAGTGCTGGAACCCAGGGAAATACATCGCTATTGTTCTTCGGTTCTCGAGCACGTAGGAGTATGTTCCGTGGTCTTTTATTTTGGGACAAATTGACAGAAAAGTTAGAAAAGTCCCATATTACAACAAAAACTATGAGACTCACTTAACATCTCTATGTATTATACTTCTATGATGTAGGTATTGAAGTCCCATTGATACATCCCTATTCAGTAATGGTATGAGTATTTTAAACTGGCAGGGCTTTCGTGCTTTGTACCTTATAATCTCCATCACAACTGCCTCAGAGTAATGGCTGTGTGCGAGCAGGTACGAGCGTACACTACCACATTTGGCGAATTCGAAGACGAAGCACGGACGTTTGGTAGATGGGTCAATATACTCATCTAAGAACATAATCTGTTCAAGTATTATATAATAATGCATACTGCGTTAGCGTGTTAGTTATTGTATGCTGACTTACAATGTTGGGATGCCGTCCGATGTTGTCCCTTACTGACACCCATCTTCTTACAATCTTATTAATCTTATGTTCGCCGTGAATGTCTTCCTCATAAGCTCCCTTTTTAATCCATTTTACTGCCACCACTTCTCCAGTTCGAACGTTTTTTCCTTCCTGTAATTACAGAACGAAAGCACAATGAGACATATTGAACCAATTCAGAGTGCAACCCACATAAACATTGGCAAATGTTCCAGAGCCAAGCATTTTAGTTGAATCATATTCGTATGGACAGTTATGATTGTCAGCTTCCTTCTTTCTTAACATATTTTAACAATGAGGTATCAATGTATGTTCTGATCTGAGTATGGCACAAGGTGCCTCTCCTGATAGATAGTCAGTCTGTGCGGATTTGAGGTCAACCTTGCATACAATTTTGCTGAGACCGTATTATTAATGACTTTGATGCTAAAAGTACATCCTAGTTTTATTACAAAATACGTTTCAGAGTGTGGCACAAGTATGATTGCAAACTAGATATATGTAATAATAGTTGAGCAGTACTGGTTACATACTATCCTGTTGAGGTATGATGAAATGATTCCAAACTTGTGAGTTATGAATACATATGATATAGTCTGTTTTCCAGCAGCTGAACAGGCTAATATAAATATTTGTTACACCTGTGGCCAAGTGTGAGTAGTGGGTACAAACTACAAATAGAGACCGTGGTTATAATTGTAGTCTGTAATTGGTTGTTGCAAAGTAATACTAGTGAGGAAGCAAGAAACTGAAATTAGTGTTGAAAGGACATCAATAAGTCGAGAACCTCAAGGAGGAGCATCCGTCACAAAAACCTAAACCTATCTATATGAGTGTCTACCATGTTTCTGCAAATTGTCTTATCAATACAAACATGCAGACAAAGAAATCATGGAATGTGTACAGTATACATATTCAAGTGACATTGGAACACCGGATTGTGTGTGCTTTCGATGTGGAATAATACACGATAAAATCCCAATACAAACTAAGCTATATATGCAGTGGAGTAATAGAGGAGTGTATGGAACACGAACATATTGTATTTCTAAACGTCGTGCCAAAGTTGATTCTCGGGGTCATGAACGGCTGTCAAGCGTCTGCGTGCACTAATTTTGCCTTCTACTCCAGTCTCGTGCTTCCACTGGATACCGCCATGGTAACCTCCAGACGTCCCTCCATCGGTTTCATTGAGAGGAAGGCAGAGCCACTCGAACGCTGGGGAGAAATGCAGGCAGGCGAGTGTACAGAGTGCGGGCAGATTAGTCGAGTTCTCAAGGCTGATGACTGCTCGCCGAGACGGAGTGGACCATAAGCAAATTGTATGTAGGTGTCTGAAGCACGGCAGTGGAGATGCAGGGCCCGTCTGCATTCATTAAATATAAGACGTGTGAAAGAGACTCTGATTTCAAGAGACACACATACCTTGGCACTGAGACTCGAGACCTTGTCATCATTCATAGGATCAAGAATGCTTGCAGGTAAGAATCCCAGCACCCTGAGTCCCAGAAGGTTTTGTGAAATGGACAATAGAACGTCTGTAAGGGCATGGGGTGGGAGGTCAAGGGCTATCCTCAACGACAGCACTGGGCCAATACTGAGTGCAAAATCTTTGATTGTACAGTACAGGTACACTGCTTGCTCATAACTAGGGAGAACTAATTGCAGCCCTGCAAGTTGAACTGAACGGGTAGGATCCTAACCATACCCCTTGGCAGCCAAACTTGAATTCCATGCATACACATCATGCACTGACACAGAAGTAATGTGGCAATAAACGTACTCTGATGTGACAAGCACTGCAAAAGTGGCTCCAGGGACCCACAAGTGTGTTATTTGTCTTCTAGGGACTAGAGTGCATGCAAGCACAAGAGACTCTGAATGTAGTGTCTTGAGGTGAGGGAGAGCAGTGGGAGGTAAGAATACCCTGAAAATGGAAATGAGAGAATCATCTGGATCTGAGAAGGGTTGAGTGCTAGCTTCCATATTGGTATTGCTTGGACCATGTAGCATATTATTATGATGGTTGCTGTTTGAGTCGACTGGTAATGAGTCAAGGGAGACAAGGGCTCCAGTCCATGATAATTCCTCAAGAGACACTTGCATTTGAAGTGTGGTCAAAAGCTCTGCATCCAGGATGAACACACATTGCAGATTCTTGAGTCTGTTTTCCAGAATTGCAGAAAGAACCTAGGACAGAAATGAATCCCTTCCATTGTTGATAGTGAGACTTTCGAGCACCATCAGCTGGCCTAAGACGTTGTGAATGTCTGACCAATATGTTGTGCTTTCAGTTTCTTGCTTGTCCAGTAGAAACTCGAGTCGAAGTTCATGTATGAGAAGTGTAAAGCAAGGACATTTCTTCATAGTATTGATGAACTTCTTCCTGTAGTCCTTTGACAGAATTATAATCCATTGTTGTAATTCTGTTTCAGACAGCCTTTGAAGGACTCAGGATGTGGCAGTGAGTGTACACAAATCATGTCAGGACTGAACATGAGGACAGATAGAGAAGTAGAGTTCAACAGGGAGTCGCATGGTTTCCTTTAGCAAGCCTGGCATGGTGGTAAAAAGGAGAGCTTATTGTGTGGAAGCTGACAGTGAGAGTTGGCATGAGTGTCATCATTCAATAAGCACAATATAGATTAGATTATCTCTAACCTCGTTATCTAATCATATTGCTGACATAATAAACTATGTCAATTGAGCTTGATCCAGGCATTGCCTTTGACTACTTTTTGCTCTTTATTGCAATGAAATTGAATTTCTCAAAACACTACTTAGGCAATACAGACTCATTGTATAAAATCGAAACCAAATGCAGGCAGTAGTGTAAGTCTCTGCCTTTTGGCACACTCGTAAAATGTGTCCTCCAAGATTTGCCTCACAGAAGCATATTCCTTGTGTGATCAAGCACAGTTTTCACACCTTCTTCTAATGATGGCCCTGTTTTGAAGCCTGTAGAACCTATGATCCGTAAGCATTGCTTCACTCTTTATCTGTACTGGCATCTAAGATCATGTAGATAGAAGGAGCTTGTTGTGATGGATTCTGGTACCTACAACAACCAATACAGTGTATAAAATCTGCTGTACTGCTTCAAGTTCATGCAAGCCCTCGAAACTCCTTCTTACACTAGATTAGCTTGATATGCCTGCAATAACTCGTTCTAATGTCGATCCGATCGATTCTAGCCTTGCATCAGCTCTTCAGCCAATATTCACATTGTACTATTCAAGGATAGCTACTGCTGCTTTCCTGGTCTATGACACATGTGAGTCCTTGCTTGTGAAACATGATATCCTTAATAAAACTTAAATTACTCACCTCTGTCTAGAATCAGTGACCACAATGGATAGAGAGGTCAGCTCCTATATCCTTGCATCAGGGCCCAATTTCTGATTCTTCGTTGCAACCTTAGGTCAAATATTTCTGGGTACACTTACACACCATTTGACTGAAGTGCTGAGTATACACTCCTGAACACAAACACAACCTATGTAGGCATCACTGCAAAAGCCTGTTAGCATAGTCTATTTTGTGATAAGCATTAGAATCTTTGTTAGATTTCCTCAACTAAAATCACATTTCTAAACTCAGGAATTTACAGAATCAGTACATAGGTACTCTGGGCACTGTTTCAGCTCTGATCAGTGAGACAATCCACTTTGATTATATTATGACCTGCAGCTGATACCTTTGTACAGCCGTTGCTCGGATGTATCATACCAATCTTAGTATGTAAGTGGACCTGGTTAGCATTACAGTAGGCTTTGATGAACCTCTTTCAGATGTAAGGTTGCTGCACAAGCATTGCATCTTGGTTTAATAGTTTTGTGGGTCGAGCTGTTGACTGGACAGTCAACATGTCTAGTAAGTATGTACATCATCATATGAGATAATACTTCTTAGTAGGAATTTGTAGATTGGATTACTGTCTCTCTGATTGACTGTACATTCTATCACTCAGTCATCTTTGTTATGGTTCTCTACTCTTGTACCTTCAGTTCTGAGGGTTCTGCACCCTTCCATAGAGTGCTGTCTATAGACTATATGTATACTAACTCTTACTACTACCCTTCCTTACTTCATCATTCTATTCCTTTAACTACCCCTTCATTCTTTGTTTATTCTATAGTCTCTTACCCTTTATCCATCCCTTTATTCTTTGTACCTTTATCTTTGACCTTCCCTTTCTTTCATTCTTTGTGGCTTATCATTCTTAGTAGCTCATACTCCCTGAGTACTCTTGTATAGTTTAGTATATATAGGTGTACAAGATCAGACTAGTCTTGTAGTCTTAATCTTGTCTACTCTAGATAGTCCTGTACTCTTAGGCTTACTCTATATACTCTACTCTTGTCTCACTCACTCACTCTGTCTGTTCTGTAAGTTCTGACTATGTTCTAGTACTTACATTCTGTATTTCTATTGTGTAGGATAGTTATAGCTTAGGTCCCCTTACTGAGCCTTCAGGTCCCCTCTATACTGTTACTAACATTAGATTAAGACTACTCATTACTACCCTATAACTCTCCTATGTTTCAAGCATTAGTACTTACTATTGTGTCAATCTCTTTTCTTTGTTCTAACCCTTTTACATTTTTAAATTTTAAACTTTCTAAACTCTTTTAAACTTTTACTACTCTTCTTCTATTCATTACCCCTTTTAGTTTAGTGCTGATTCCTTTATAGTATAAACATAGACTCTCTTACACTAACTACCACCCTTACTGTCCTACTAGATTAGTAGTTATGAGTAGAACTAGCTTAATATGTATAGACCTCTATCTAAGAGGTCTTTACTAACTATATACCTCTAACCCCTTTAGAACCTGTTCTAATTGTTCTAGAAGTTACAACCTGTTCTAGAAAGAAAGTGTATGTAGCCTACCCTTCAAACTTTAATAAGTAACACTTTAAGGACTTCTAGTACTAAGTTGAACTATACATAGCTACTACTTTGACTAATCTATTCTTAGATCTTAATTGTGTCCTATTTGTCCTCTCCTTCATAAAGGAAGGTAACACAACCACCTGAGCTTAGAACTGAATTAAAGAACATTAGATTAGAAGCCTGATCCAACTTCAGAACAATGAGTCCTATTTAGAATTCATAGAGTAACTCTGTACTTTCTTTATCAATCTGAATAAGAAGTATAATGTGTAGAACAAGCTTGTATCTCTGTGACAGGACAAACATTCTACTAATACCTTCTTTCAGGAGTTTGATATCTTAGCTTAGAAGACAGGATTTGTGCTTGAGTTTAATAATGTCCTTATTAGAATACTTGAAAAAGCTCTTCACTCAGAACTAGTTAATAAGATTCTTAGAATAATACTAAAACTAGTTACTTATACTAAGTAGAAGATGTGTACTATCTCCTTCAACTAAGCTATAACTTGGATGTGTCAAGTCTGTGTAGAACACTCACACATATGTTTAGCTCTAACAGTTCTAAGCCCTCAGATTAATCTACCTGTAATTTACAATTAATCTGTTCTAATAAACATTAGAGAAGTCTGAAAGTAAAGAGTATGCTTTACCTGTAGAAAGTCAGAGTACTAGATTAAGAACTGTCTGTAGAAGTAATAGTATATCTGTCAGGTCATTAGAGTAATAACAAGTGACAAACAGGATTTGTAGTGAGAAGCCTTTTTTACAAATCCAGAAGTCACCTTAGAACTCTTAGACTCTGACTACATACTCTAGGATTTTGTAGAGACCTAACAGTGAATGTAACACTGAAGGGTTATAACTCAGATTTTTTAATAGCCACTTTTGATTCAATAGACACTGTAGGATTAAAAGTAAATAAAGTAAGAAAAGTAGAAAAAGTAGAAAAAGTAGAAAAAGTAAATCAACAAAATTATTTATTAGAAAGAAAAAAGTCAAAAACAAAAGTAGATAGTTCTCCTATTTCTTCTGATTCTTTTGATTCTTCTCTTTATACTTTATCCAAGTTTAAATCTACACAATCTAACCTACTACTTTTGTATTCTAAGATCTTAGAACACTTAGAACACTACTTAGCCCTGTTTACTACTCAGTAGTTTGTCTATAGTATCAAGTAAGGATAGCCTCAGCTGAGTTTACAGTTAAGGACATGAGTCTGTCCTTGTCAAAAGAGAGAGGTTAATAAGGAAATGTTAGTACATATACTTACCCTCTTAGATGACAAGACTGTGTAAGCTGTACATTCCCTTCAGAACAAGTAGCAGTTCATCTGAGAATGTTCTAAGTACTAGCTCCAGGTCTCTGTCCTCTTAGCTCCCTTCTCAGGATTCCCTCAGATCTGAATAATAACTCTAGTAGACAGTAGATGTACTAGTTTGTACATTAATAAGGTCTTTGTGTAGGAATCACTATCTCCCTACTTAATGTGTTCCACTTCCAATCCTAGTATACAATATAGACAGAACTCTAAACTAGAATAGTCAGATTACTAAGTTTGTCTAACTACAGATGACTATTCAGGATTATAAGGAAAGTATTGAGTTCAGAGTCACTAACCTTAGAAAGACAGACATCTTTATTAGATTCAAATGGCTTAAGGCTCACAACCCTACTATTGACTAGTTAGAGTAGACACTTGTGTTTGATTAGTGTTCCAAGTCTTACAGCTACTTTATACTACTGTTCTGAGTAGATACAGACACTTCTAATGTTACTAACAGTTCTAATAAAGGTGACTAACTGTTCTTCTTCAACTAGAATGAATATGTGAACACATATTCTAGTCAAGGCAGGACAGAGTCAATCTAAAGGATGTCTAAGACAGAACCAGTCTAGAACCCTCTCAGAACAACTCTACTCTGGAACACACATAAACCTAACCTACTAGATTTTGTTCAAGAGTTCTCTAAAGTCTTTAGTAAAGAAGAATTTAACCAGCTTCCTAAATACTGTCCTTAAGACTATACAATTGAATTGACTAAGAGTTTCTAACTTAAGGATTGTAAGGTCTACCTGCTCAACAGAGACA